AAGTTTGAAGGGATTTTCCTCATTTTGCCATTGAAATAATTTTCATCCCTTGCTTAAAGATAAGGCAATATAGGTGGTCATGTGGCCTGGGGATGTGTTCATGTTAAGGGTTGTTCAGCTGTTCATACTGCTAAGATGTATTCTGTCTTGTTGATGTTACAGGCACAGGCATTTGCCAAAAGCAATATACAAGGCAGCTTCCCTCAGGCGTATTATGTCTGAAGCTGAAAGAAAGAAAGAAGAGAGGAGGAGAGCCCATAGTGCCCCCGGTAGCATCCCAAAGGAATCATTGCGTAAAAGAAGAATCATTGAAGAAGTTGAATGAACTCGATGCAGATATAATGCTTGTTCATGCCCTTAAAATTCAAGGGGTCTTAAAAGTGCCATGGTTCTGAGTGAGGACCCGATATCTGTTGTTCCTGCATAAATGGCGATGATGGAGATTTTACGCTCGCAACAATTTTGCTATGACTTGGTCTACTAATTTTTATGTAACAGTGGGTTTGACATAATTAAGACTATACTCTTTTCTAAAATTCTCAAAATGGGTAAGAAATTGGCGGAAAATTTATGCCTCGTTAAATGTTTTGACATAAATAGAACTTTGTGGAAATTACACAATTCCATACTTTAAAAATTCACAATTCTAAAATCATATGAGTAGTTTAACCTTTCAAAAATTAGATGCTTTATTTTAATTAATATTTTTTTAAAATAAATATTTTTACTAAATATATTATATACTCCAATAATCAGAAACTCTAATTAAATTTCCACATTCTCTCTCTCTACATTTCTCTGTCGTGTCTCTCTCTCTCTCTCTCTCTCTCTCTCTATTCCCTGACAGAAAACAAAGACGCCGAAGTAGAGGCGCCTATATCGCCGGTCGATAGTGAGTTGCCTATCGCCTGTATCGCCGGTCGAAAGGTGCTTTGCGGCTATTGCTACTTCGTCCTTGCATCGATTTTGCCATGGTGACGATGTTATGGTGGTAGAGGCGTTTCACGCAGTGAATGGGATGACGGTTGTTGGCGATGGTGGTGGATCTAACGGGGATGGTGGAACTGGTGGTAGAAGTGAGTTTTGTGGTGGTGTTTGTATTGCGCAGGTGTTGTGCCGTGGGTTGTGGAACAGGTGGTGGTGCATGGTTGCGATGATGTGTAGGGACGGTGGTTGGGCACGCTGTTGTGTAAGGGTGTGGTGGTATTGGCGGCATGGTGGTTGCTTTAGAAGTGTGCGGTGCTGCTGACTGGCTGTTTTGAGATGGTGGGTAGATCTATGGTGGCAAATTTGATGGTTTGGTGGTGTTTGGCGGATCTGGTGTTTTGGTGGTGGTTAGCGGTGGTTGTGGTAGTGGGTGGGGGTGATGGTGAGATGTTGGTGGCTGTGATCTACTGAGGTGGATATGTTGATTCATTTGACAGTGGTTGACGGGTGGTGGTGGCGGCGGTTCTACCTTGGTGGTGGTGGTTTTGCGTTGATGGTGGCGGTGGTCGTCGCAAATGTTGATGGTGGTCACAGATTATTTGATTGAATGTGACCAGCGAATCAGTTAATCTGTGACTAATAAACAATATGTGACCAATGAAAAAAAATTTGTGACCAAGAAATATTGTGTGATCTAAAAAATTAATAATTTGTGATTGTCGTTTAAGTTGTGACCTATAATATTTGTGATCTGTGACTTATAAATTTTTGATTTGTGACCCATAAAATTTTTGATTTGTGATCGAGAAATAAGTTGTGACTAAAAATTAATTGTGACTCATAAATTTTTTGATTTGTGACTGATGAACGAGCTGTGACCTACAAAATTTTTGAATTGTGACCGTAAAATAATTTGTGACAAAATTTCTTATTCGTGACAAAAAAATAATAAGTGACTATTTAAATTGTTAATTTGCGACCAAATTAGATGTAACCAATAACAATTTTGATTTCGTGACCTATAAAATTTTTTATTCGTGATCGAAAAATAATATGTGACCTATAAAATTTGTGTTTGTGACTTATAATTTATTGAGTTGTGATCGAAAAATTAATCTGTGACCTATAAAATTTTTGATTCGTGATCGAAAATAATATGTGACCTATAAAATTTGTGTTTGTGACTTATAATTTATTGAGTTGTGATTGAAAAATTAATCTGTGACCTATAAAATTTTTGATTCGTGATTGAAAAATAATATGTGACCTGTAAAATTTGTGTTTGTGACTTATAATTTATTGAGTTGTGACCGAAAAATTAATTTGTGACCTATAAAATTTTTGATTCGTGATCGAAAAATAATATGTGACCTATAAAATTTTTAATTCGTGACCGAAAAATAAGTTGTGAGTTGTGACCAATAATATGATAAGTCGTGACTGAAAATTAATCCGCGACTAATTATTTTTGAATTTGTGACCAATAAACAAACTGTGACTTATAAATTTTTGAAATGTGATCGTAAAAAAATTTGTGACATTAAAATTTTAATTTGTGACAAAAAAATAATAAGTAACTAATTATATTGTTAATTTGTGACCAAATTGTATATATCTGTGACCTAAATATATTTAAGAGGAAATTTCACGTAATGTCCATTTTCAGCAAGTCATTTGCCAAAATGTCCACAATTTTGTCAATGTCCATTTTCGAATTATGTAGACGAAAATACCCCTGTTAGAAGTATTATTTTCACACAAGAATTCAAAATTTTCCATATCACTATTCATGTCAATCAACGTAGAAATGTCAATGAGCATTAAATGCCTGGGTTGGATAGGTGTGCGTCGATGTGGGTCGGGTTATGGGTCAAGTAGGTGCGGGTCGAGTTGGATCGAGTTATGGGTGAAAAATGGAAAACCTGATATAACTCGACCCAAATACAAAAAAAAAAGAAAAAAAGAAATGAAGGCGGGGGAATGAAAAAATAAAAGAAGCCCTAAACTAAGTCCTCTTAACTCTCATTCTCAGTCTCTCAATCTTCACTCTGACTCAACTCGCCGACAACGAGCCTGTTCATTTCTCTCTTATTTTCCCAGTTGTCGTTTGCCCACCACACTTCAGAGTCCAGTGCTATAGAGTAAGTTTATTTCATTATTTTTTTTTATTTCGTTATTTTTTTCACTTCCCCAAGTCTCTCCTCTTCCTAAATCCTAAGATTTGACTAGTTTAATATAAATTGATGTCAAGGTCACTGAGTGTCTCTATTCTATTGGGCGAGCAAATACTAACTGTTGATACAATTTGAGATAAAAAGTGGTACATGTGAGATACTGTCAAAAAGGTTGAAGAGGTAAAGTGTTTAAAGAAATCAGGAAAATGATTGTACTTTCTGTTGTCCCTGTTATTGTATTTTTGCTTTTGAGATATAATTTATATGTGAACTAAATTTGATGCTGCTGGATGATAAATAACACTAGTACGAAGTGAAGAATACTCCATTTGAGGCATATTTCGCATCTGAGTTAGGCAATAAACATAATGAAATGACACAGATTGTGTTGCTATTATACACTCTTAAGACTGTTTGAATGCTCATCAGCAACTAAATGGCTTCATTTTCGCATCAAATTTGTTCTGCGTCTTGTTGAGGGTTGCATTTGCATATTGATGGTTTCTTATGGAGGAAGACTGTGATAGGTTGATAACAGATAGAAAACTTTGTTAAATCTTATGACATGTATACTTGATTTTGCGTATGGTCTATTGTAGTTGGCTCTAAATTTATTTAATATAAGGCTATGTTGTTGTTATTTATTTTGTTAAAGAATATTGTATTTAAGACTTATTTGCATATCTAAATTAGGCAATTAACTTAATGAAATTGTAGAAGATTGTGTATATACTTTTGAACTGTTTGAATGG